TTTTTAACGGTTTGTCAGATACTGATTATGTTCTTCAGTTGACCCCCAGTTTTAATAATCAGTTTCTACATTAATCTAAAAAACTAGTTAGACACTAAGTGTTGCTATCAGTAACTGATGGCTAGTCCTTAGTTTTTTAATGGTTTCTTAGATACTGATTACCTATGTTCTCCAATTGATATCCAGTTTTTGAGTATTATATAGTTTCTTAATAGGTAAAGAAAACTTTTTAATGACTTACTGTTATCATATCAGTTGTCGATAGTGAGTTCTCTTAGTTCTCAATTCACCAGTTTGCCAGTTATAGCGTTACGAAATATCAAAACTCATTATATAAGTTTGTGATAGTAGTCAACATTGCAGTCAACAATAATATTAATGATTGACAATAATTTTTAACTATAATCACATAACTATTATACAAGCGACAATAGTAATAAATAATTGTATATTATGAAGTTGAAAGTTATAGCTTTTATATAGGGTCTCCCATTTTAACATGGACAGTAAAATATCTCGAAAACTTAGCCCAGCAGACAAAAATGTTTCAGACAAAAGTTGTTTGGTTTCGAGGGGGCCATAAGGCGGTACCATTGGCTTGACCTTGAAGAATTATTTGAAGGTCACATAAAGGTCAAACCAATTTTTTTAAACGGCATCCCCTATGTTTTATTACACATTCTTGTAGCTGACCTCGAAAGCTTTCCAAAACACTATAATAAAGTATTTTTTTATTAAGAACTTTTTGAGTTATTAAAATTTGAAAGTTCCAATATTTTGACATAAATTACAAAATATCTTGTAAAATATTCATTTTTTAATCATCTTACCTTAATACTTTTTTTAACAGAATAATGATACAAATCAACCGGTGTAAAGAAAACACAATTTTGTAACAAGTAATAAAAAAATGTTTTTAACAATTGTGTTTTCTTTACACCGGTTGATTTGTCTCATTATTCTGTTCAAAAAAGTATTAAGGTAAGATGATTAAAAAATGAATATTTTACAAGATATTTTGTAATTTATGTCAAAATATTGGAACTTTCAAACCTTCATAACTCAAAAAGTTCTTAATAAAAATACTTTATTATAGCGGTTTGGAAAACTCTCGAGGTCAGCTACAAGAATATGTAATAAAAAATAGGGGATGCCATTTAAAAAACTGGTGTGACCTTTATGTGACCATCAAATAATTCTTCAAGGTCAAACCAATAGTGCCATCTTATGGCCCCCTTGAAACCAAACAACTTTTGTCTGAAACATTTTTGTCTGCTGGGCTCAGTTTTCGAGGTATTTTACTGTAGAAGTTAAAATGGGACACCCTGTATATATAAAACTGGGTTGGAAAAATAATTAATTAAGAATGTTTATTGAAGCATTTATTATACAGGGTGAGGCATTTAAAACTGTTTTTCAGAATATTTGGAAAAATACAAATCGGATTAAAAAAGTTGCAATAAAAGTTGTTCACCTCGAAGAGGGTCATCCATTAACATAAAGCTCGACCCCCTGCACCACCCCCGGGGGCGGGAGGGGGGTGACTTTGAAATCTTAAATAGGAACCCCTATTTTTTATTGCAGATTTGGATTCTCCGTGAAAAAATATGTAACTTTTGTATGAGACATTTTTTTCGTTTCATGATAGATGGCGCTGTAATCGGCAAAAATGAAAATGAGTTGAAAATTGTTGAAAAATGGTATATATGGTATAATGGTATAATGGTATAATGGTATAATGGTATAATAATATCTCAAAAAAATACACATCAGATTAGGAACATCAAAGTAAATTTTTTGATATTTTTGAAAATGCTATCATGTGACACCGTCTACCCTCCTGCAATGCATTCTTAGACTACTTTTAGGTTTACCCAGGAACAACGACGTAGACGTAGTAGTAATTTGTTCCCTTCGGCGTTCTTGATTTTGGTGAGTCCCCTTGCATCTCACTATCTCGGGGTGCTTGATTACTGTGAGTCCCCTTGCCTCTCACTATCTCGGGGTGCTTGATTACTCTGAGTCCCCTTGCCTCTCACAAGTGTTTCATTGAAGCAAATGTTCGAAATGATGTCCGTTGTTTCTAATGCACATTGCAACTCTGTGTCTGAAAGACAATCCGACATTTATAAGTGTCTCTGCGCTAATGTTTGCACATTCATTGATAATTCGCTGCTGCATATTTTCTGAGGTTGTTGGTACATCCATGTAAACTCTCTCTTTTAGCCTTCCCCACAGGAAAAAATCGGCAGAAGTCAAATCTGAACGTGCGGGCCAATTTTGAGGACCTCCTCGTCCAATCCATGGACCCGGATAGTTTCGATTCAAAACTTCTTGAGATATTCGTGAATAATGCGCTGGGCATCCATCGTGTTGAAACCACATATCCATTCTTGTTTGAAGTGGAACATCTTCCATTAGTATGGGTAAAACATTATCTAAAAAGTCGCTGTACATTTGACCATTCAGATTACCTTCTATGAAGTATGGGCCAATTACCTGAGTATCTAAAATACCGCACCAAACGTTGACACTCCACGGGCGTTGATGTTCAACTTGCCTTAACCAATGGGGATTCTCCACTGACCAATAATGCATATTATGTCGATTCACTTGATCACGATTCGTAAAATTTCATTCATCAGAGAAAAGTATCTGTGAAATGAAATTATCATTGACTGCCAGTTGTTCCTGTATCCAGTTGCAAAAATTCAAGCGATTTTGAAAATCGTCACCATGCAGTTCTTGATGCAGCGATAAATGATGTTGTGCCCCGATTGCCGAAAGAGGTAACGAGGGCAGTAACACTCAAGCAGTGTTACTGCAATTAGAATAACACTAGCGTAAGCATATTGCGCGATCGAGCCACAAAAGCCCGACCACGCAACCTAATTAAATTCTAAGAAGAAGTCAGCAAGGTCTCGACCCGATCACGAATGACCGCAGTCGAGTACCGAGAAGTTGCTGTCAAGTATCGAGAACGCTGACGCCTCGATCATCGGGTTTAAACCAGAGGAAAGCCCGAGATCGAGGCACTTGTCACTATCGCGTATCCGCTAACGTACTGTACGCGTTAAACACTTGTCCGTCAGGCCTTCGGCCTGCCGTCAACCAATCTTGTGAAACTCAGTTAAATAAAGTTAATCTGTGAGATCCAACGGTGCCTTCTTGAAGTGACCTCCGACCAGCCACATCCCATCAAAGAACCCCTTCGGTTCTCGTCAGAGAACACCTCCGGAGCGAGTAAGAAGGAAAATACACCGCGCACGGAGCGGCGCGGCAACAAAAGTGGTGGCAGCGGTACTGGGATTGTGAACTGAGTAGAGAACACTGCCTCAGAGGACCAAGGAACAGCTGAGTAAAGACAACGAGGACTAGCAGAGGACTGCGAACGACACGGACACCCGGTAGCAGCCGACGGTAGCAGCCGACGAGTGATAACGCCGAGGGAAACCGGAGAAGCAGCCCTGACCAGCCTCAACCAGCCGACACCCGAGCGGCACTGAATTACGACAGCAGGATTGATCGAGAAATCAACATGCGTCTAATGTAAGTCGTATTAAGACTATTGTAAAAGCGAGCGAAATTGCCGAAACAAATAAAAGTAGATGTCAGGGAATGGCCCTGCGACACCGCGCGAAATTGATTCGTGGAGGCTGTTAAGCGAAGCAGCCCGAAAAGCGAACGAAAATCCGCGAAGTTCACACACGGTCAAACGCATACCGCGAAATAGACGAAACCGTGTCCGCCGAAATTTAGAGGAGTACTACACAAGCGAGGAGTCCGACTCCGACGCCACAGAAGTACCCAATCAGGAAATCGCGACTTCGCCCAAAGTGATTTTGATTTCCGATACGGAACCGGAAAGCAGTCCGGCATATAGCCTAGTAAATAGGCACGCGTCCGCATTAAAGTCAATCGCGACAGGTAAACCCGATTCAAAAGAACGGGACATGGCGCACGCGGTTGGAACGGATCCGAACGCAGTCGGTCAAAAAATAGACGAAGCGTTAGGGTTAGTAGCCGGAAGTAACAGAGACAGTACACCGTTTAAAAGCGCGGTAGTATTGCCCACCGCGCAAAACGACGATATACGAGCTACAGTGTCCGAATTAGTAAGCGTAATACGCGACATGCGGATAGAGATAAGTAAAATCCAAGATCGCGAACGAATACGCGACCTGGGACGGACAGTGGTAAAAAACACCAGCAGACGTGACGATGACATACTATCACAGAACCAATTGACACCGTCTGCACAATATTCCGGTCAGCCGGGAGAACGAAACACGAACGGAAGATACATGTCCCTAAAGGAAGCACGAAACTCGATTCCCCCGTTCGATGGAACCTCAAGCAAACTTCAAGAATTTTTACGTGTCATAACTTACGCAGTGAAAAGTATCGATCCACTCGACGAAGGAGCACTATTAGAAGGCGTATTGTACACCAAATTGAAAGGCAGAGCCTTGACAGATTTTCGCACTAGAGAGATTAGAGACTTTGACCAATTAAAAGAAGAATTAGTCGTGTGCTATCAGAGTAAGAAGAGCACTACGCACTTGCAACTTGACTTCAATACGCTAAAGCAAAGGAGCGGAGAAAGCGCTCAAGAATTCGGCCTGAGAACCGAAAAACTAGCCAACGAGCTATTCGAATCCATGGTAGAGGAAAGCAATCACCCGCCAGGAGTTAAGCAAGGCATTCTAGAATCGATAAAGCAACAAGCTTTACAAAATTTTCAGCTGAGACTGAAAGACGAGATCAAACTACTCGTCAGATCCCGAAATTACAAAACTATGCAAGACGCCATAGCTGGCGCAAGTGCCGAGGAAAAATTTAATAGTCCAAAGGAAACGGCACGGTATAGAAACGGCTATGCAAACTCGCAGCCGAAAGACAATAAAGTGAAAGTAACGTGTCACAAATGCGGAAAACCCGGACATTATAACAGAGATTGCCGAAGCAGTCGATATGCAAATCGTTTTCAGCTGCCGAAACCCGAGACGACACCCAGAGTAAATGCGGTGGAGAAGCACTGCAGACATTGCAAAAAACCGGGACACGTCCAAGAGGAATGCTGGCAGTTGCACGGGAAACCGAGAAATAATAGCGCGAGATACGCTAAACCCAATTACTCGCAGGGAAAAGCGAAAAGGAACGGCAATGAGCATAATAAATACAAAGAAAAGAGCGCGAACTCAGCAGCAAGCGGTGACGAAGATGACAACGATGAGAAGAAGACGAGACGAGCGCTCAAGTATCAGGTTGCGCACATGAACGATGTGCCACAGCGGAGCACAGGATTAGATTTAATTAACCTGCCCATCCGAGAAACGAAACGCGGAAAAGCCAACATGTTATTCGACACAGGAGCCGCTTTGTCCCTAATAAAAGTAGCGTTGTTGAAAGAGGAAACACTAATAGAAGAAGACGAGATAACGCTTACGGGGATAACAGGCCATAAGGTGAAAACAATAGGCAAGATTCACGCCAAGATAAAGTTAGACGAACTGCAAATAAAGCACACACTATATGTAGTCAAAGATGATTTCCCCATGGAGTATGACGGAATCCTAGGAGTAGATTTCGTGAAGAGACATAAGGTAAAATGCGATTACGGGAAAAAACAAGTTAGCATAGGACGGCAAATCTTCAAGTTGTACCCCTACAGAAGAATATCACTAAAGCCGCGAAGCGAAACAATTATACACTTGGCTACCGATACGAATATGTTGGGCATAATACAGACATAAGAAACTAGACCCGGAGTGTTTATAGGAAACTGTCTAGTGCAGCCAAGAGAATTTACGTGCGTAGCAAGCATTTTGAATACAACAGAAACCACGGTTGAGATGCCAATGCCGCAAGTAAAACTTGTGGAAATTGGGCTGGAGGAGACAGAAGAAATAAATGCAGCACAGGTTAGCAAGGGTGCCGGAAACATATCGCGCAGTGAAAAAATAATTAAACTATTGCGCACCGAACATTTGAATGCCGAGGAAAGGAAAACCATTGTCGAAATCTGCGAAAATTTCAATGATGTATTTCACATGAACGGAGAACCTCTGACCTGTACGGAAGCTGTAAAACACAAAATTGCTACGCAGGCAAATAGCTCCCCGGTCAACGTACGACCATATCGCCTACCGGAAAAGCACAAGCAGGAGGTAGACCGACAAGTGCAAGAAATGTTGAAGAACGGCATAATAAGACGTAGCACGAGTCAGTGGAATGCGCCACTGTTAGTGGTCCCGAAGAAAGCAGACGCCTCAGGAAAACCGAAACTACGAGTCGTAGTCGATTTCAGAAAGGTAAACGACCTGACAATAGGCGATTCGTTCCCAATACCAAACATGACGGACATATTAGATCAGTTGGGAAATGCAAAATATTTTTCGACGCTGGATCTAGCTTCGGGATATCACCAAATAAAAATGGAGGAAGCTGATAAGGAGAAAACAGCATTTTCCACTCCACATGGGCACTACGAATATAATAGAATGCCATTTGGTCTAAAAAATGCACCAGCTACGTTTCAAAGAGTAATGAATGCCGTATTAACCGGATTACAGGGACTCAAGTGTCTCGTACATATAGATGACATAGTCATATATGCGCATAGTCTACAGGAACACAACAAACGACTCGTTGAAGTATTAGAAAGGCTGAGAGAGAATAATCTAAAATTACAGTCGGACAAGTGCGAGTTCCTAAGAAAAGAGGTGACGTACCTCGGACACAAGATAACAGATAACGGAATCCTTCCGAATCCAACGAAATTAGAAGCCGTTAAAAGGTTTCCGACGCTAGAAAAAGAAAAGGATATCCAGGCCTTCATCGGATTGGCAGGATATTATAGGCGATTTATAGAAAACTTCTCTAAAATAGCAAAACCCTTGACTAATGTACTGAAGAAGGGAACAAAATTTGAGTGGACGGAAGAGCAACAATAAGCGTTTGATATTTTAAAAGAAAAATTGACGACAGCGCCCGTTCTACAGTATCCCGATTTCGAACAGCCGTTTATAGTGACGACTGATGCATCCGATCATGCGATTGGAGCAGTATTATCGCAGGGAAAAATAGGAAAAGATAGACCAATAGCATACGCGAGTCGAGTCTTAAATAAAGCCGAACAAAATTATAGCACTACAGAAAAAGAATTGCTAGCCATAGTATGGGCGGTCAAACACTTCCGACCGTACCTATACGGAACGAAATTCACGATAGTCACAGACCACAAATCTCTAGTGTGGCTATTTAGTGTAAACGATCCAGGATCGCGCCTAATAAGGTGGCGATTAAAATTAGAGGAGTACGACTACGTAATCGTACACAAAGCAGGTGAGATAAACAAAAATGCTGACGCGCTCAGCCGACACGTTGCTGACGTAAACACCGTCGAAGAAACAGACACAACGATGGAACGCGAATATTCAGAAGAGGAAAAGAAGAAAATACTGTATGAATACCATGATGCGCCTGTGGGAGGACATCAAGGAGTGGAACGCACCATACGAAGAATTCGGTTAACTCATAATTGGAAAGGGTTAACGAAGGATGTGGAAGAGCACATCTCAAAATGCGAAAAGTGTCAGAAAAATAAATTGTCACGAAGAATAAAGGTACCACTGGTGATAACAGACACACCAGATAGGCCATTCGAAAAATGTGCCTTAGATATAGTAGGACCGTTGACAACGACTACACAGGGAAACAAATACTTACTGACGTTCCAAGACAGTCTAACGAAATTTAGTAAGGCAATCCCCATACCGAATCAGGAAGCAGTCACGGTCGCAAAAATGTTTGTAACAAGAATAATCTTAGAACACGGCATACCCGAAAAGGTACTGACCGATCAAGGTACCAATTTCCTAAGCGACGTATTCAAGAATACGTGCAAACTATTAAAAATAAAAAAGATCCAGACGACGGCTTACCACCCAGAAAGCAATGGAGCTCTGGAAAGTTCGCATCGCACTATTGCAGAGGACTTGCGACACTACATAGACGAGGATCAAAGTGATTGGGATGAATGGATCCCGTACGCAATGTTTACATATAACACAACGCCTCATAGCGCGATAGGATACACTCCACATGAATTGATATACGGGCACCAAGCGACTCTACGGCCCTGACTCAACCGCCGCGACAGACGTACTCGTACGACGACTACGCGCAAGAATTACGCGAGAGAATGCGAGCTACGCAACAAGCAGCGAAGGAACAATTAATAGCCAATAAAGAAAAAGCTCACTATGACAAACGAACTAAAAGTGTGATGTTTAAAGTAGGGGAAAAGGTACTCCTACACGACGAAACCGTGAGGAGAGGACGCTCGAAAAAACTAGATTCTCAATGGATAGGTCCGTACATCATTACGGAGAAGCACTCGGAAGTAAACTATACGATAAAAAAGGGACGACGAAGCCTACGAGTGCACGCAAATCGCATAAAACCCTTTGTCGAATATTAGGAGATTAGAACTACAATCGAGGGGAGAAGGGACAGGAATGAATGATAGAAGATAGGATAAATGAATAAAATAGAAACAGTTCAAGCAAAAGTTAAGTATAATTACGAAAATAAAAATGCGCGTATAAATGAATCCAAGAAAAAGTCAATTATAAGGAAGAAAATAAAAATAGGGGTATAAAAGGAGATTAAAATATATATAAATGTATATAAGTATATGTGTATGTGTATAACGAGGTATACGACGTATAACGACGATGTATAACGACGGGCCAGGACAGGAGGGAGTGAGCGCCCGCCATCTCCGCCGCAATAGGCCGAAGAGCCAACGTCTGTAAACAAGACAGGAAATCGATATAACGAAAAGCGAATGTAAAAAGAACAGTAGGCAAGAAAACAAGAGGACACTTACCTCACTGAAAGTAGACCCATCGGGCCCCGTGAGGAGACGTGGAGGGACACCCAAAGCGACCCCTCGCGGTACGCCATGGCCTCCCCATAGCTAGGGGGTGGGTCGTACGCCGGAGGAGACGGCGACCCCACAGAAGAAGCCCGAGAGGAACCCTCGGAAGACCCTCCCGACGACGCCCGAGATGAATCCTCAGAAGAACCGCCCACGAGCTCGGGCACCGGACCCTCGGCGACTGATAACTCGCGATCGGCACGGCCGACACAAGCCGAACAGTAAGTGGGTTGAAACAATCGGCGGCATTGCCTACAAGCCGCAAAGCCCATACAGCAGGGAGACGACATAACGAAGGCAAGAGGCGAAACGGGACTGAGCTCACAGCGAGCAAGGTAACATAATTAAAAGAATAAGATATAGGAACTCCTGACGCAGCCCAAGATAACAGTCAGCGAGAAAAACCCCCCGCGCACCTGCAACTAAAAAGCGACGGGGATTCAAAGAAAGTAACATGAACTCCTGTCTTGCAGGATGGGACTGGCATTGCTGCTACTTAGCACGAGAGCCGAGGAAGAGCCATACAAAATCCACCGATTCGACCACGAACCGGGATTATACTACGAAAAACTAGGCACACTTCAAGAAACCGAGGCCGAATGGAAATTAACGATAGACCTCGAAGTAAAAGCCCTAGGAGTCAGGCATGAGCAACTAATAGAATTTGACGAAGACACTCGAGCCCTGTGCCAACACGCCTTCGCGGGCATCGAACCGTCGTGCGAAAACGTACTACAAATAATAGCGAAACAGGAAGCACAGATCGCAACGGCCCTCAAGCGCCTGCAGACGCTGTATACCGCTAAGGAAAACAAAAGAGGCCTAATCAATGCGATCGGCAGCGTAAGCAAAACGCTGTTCGGCACGATGGATGCGGAAGACGAACGCAAGATAAACGAGCAAATGCAATTACTGCAGGGACAACAAAAGACACTGCAACACGTTATGAAAAACCAGCTGAAGATACTGGATAAATCCATCGGGCACATAGAGGCATTAGAAAACACCGTGACCCGCAACGAGAACATGATCGCGAACGCCACACGGAAGATGCAGGGTCAGGTTTCACGACTGACGAACCGCGAGGATATAATAGAACACCTCGTGACAATAAACGAGATAACGAACACACTGGCGAGAGACATAACTGACGTAACGGATTACTTGACTCACGCAAGACACGGAATAATTTTAACAAGACTGTTGCCGATAGAATTAATAATGACGGAACTTCGGGAAGCTGCGACATACCTAGGGGCAGGACAGCACTTCCCATTCAAAGTACAAGCCGAAAACTGGCAAACGATCCAAGAACACGTGAAGGTAGCCGCGTACGTAAACATGCCTCACGTGTACACCATCCTAAAATTCCCAATTGTAAACTACCCAATATACGAAATAATAAAAACAACTCCCCTTCCCGCCCACGAGCGAGACAATATATTCACATTCGTGAAAACGTCCGGGGATCTAATGGCAATAGATAGGGAAAACCACAATTATCTAATAATCAAAGAGCGAGAACTAGAGACTTGCACGCGAACAGCAGAAAAATACGTATGCAATCAAGCATTCCCGACATACCATGTAAGCGAAGACGCACCATGCGAGGTGCAAACCTATGTACAGACCCCGGGCCACCTAAGTGCGTGCGAAAAAAGGCACCTTACAAGCAACCGGACCATTTGGATAACGGTAGAAGAAAAACACACTTGGCTATACTCCACGCGAGGAGAGCAACGAATCAGCGTCCAATGTAACGGACAGCCAGAAAGCGAAATCGCTATAGATAACACAGGTAAAGTTACCCTACAAGACAAATGTAAACTAACCACGCCCGACGTGATCATGAAAACGAAAACACAAATAGGCAATAAAGTAGTACAGACACACCTACCGGGATATAATTTAACGAAAAACACGGTCAACCCCTGGCCGAAGGAAATCAGCTAAACTAACAAAGTAACCGAAAGTTAAAACCCGTAATAACGAACCCGAAGGAATTGATAGAACTAAGACTAAGCACACGGGAACTCGAAAGAGAATTGGAAAACGGAGCGAACAAACACATATTTGCGAACAGATACGTCGCGTACTCGCTAAGCACGGGCATGGCAATAATTATAGTTAGCATAATAGGCATAAGCGCATGGATAATATACCGTAGAACGAAAAAACAACCGAATACACCAAACTATGTTAACCGCGAACCCGCGATGTTGTACTAAGCATAAATTGTAAAGAAATATTGTAAGGAACAAGGAAAAGGGAGAGGGTAAACCCATGAGCGGAAAACTTCATCCCTCAGTTTTCCTTCTTCCAAAGGGGGAGGGATGTTGTGCCCCGATTGCCGAAAGAGGTAACGAGGGCACTCAAGCAGTGTTACTGCAATTAGAATAACACTAGCGTAAGCATATTGCGCGATCGAGCCACAAAAGCCCGACCGCGCAACCTAATTAAATTCTAAGAAGAAGTCAGCAAGGTCTCGACCCGATCACGAATGACCGCAGTCGAGTACCGAGAAGTTGCTGTCAAGTATCGAGAACGCTGACGCCTCGATCATCGGGTTTAAAACCAGAGGAAAGTCCGAGATCGAGGCACTTGTCACTATCGCGTATCCGCTAACGTACTGTACGCGTCAAACACTTGTCCGTCAGGCCTTCGGCCTGCCGTCAACCAATCTTGTGAAACTCAGTTAAATAAAGTTAATCTGTGAGATCCAACGGTGCCTTCTTGAAGTGATCTCCGACCAGCCACATCCCATCAAAGAACCCCTTCGGTTCTCGTCAGAGAACACCTCCGGAGCGAGTAAGAAGGAAAATACACCGCGCACGGAGCGGCGCGGCAACAATGAAATGGATGAAATTTGTGTTCATGCAGTATGCGTAGAACACTTCTTTGAGAAATTCCTGAACCTCGCGTAATTTGCCTAGAACTAATGTGAGGATTTGCAGCAACTGCAGCTAAAACATTCACTGTGTTATTTTCGTTTGTCACAGGCCGCGGTCGGACTCTTTCTCTAGGTTTAACACTTCCAATTTCAGTAAACAGTTGGACAATACTGCGAAAAGTCGTTGCAGAAGGAACATTCCTATCAGGGAATAGATTAGCATACCTTTGACGAGCTTCTTCAACATTTCTATGAGCCTCAACAAAGTACGAGAAAATGATATCTACTCTCTCTACAATCGTTAACATCGTGGAACAATTGAGAAGAGACGTTCACAGTCCGAATCATTGAAGTAAAATGAACAGTCTGACCACTTTGCTTTTCGAACATTTGCTTCAATGAAACACTTGTGAGAGGCAAGGGGACTCACAGTAATCAAGCACCCCGAAGGGAACAAATTACTACTACGTCCACGTAGTTGTTCCTCGGTAAAGCTGAAAGTAGTCTAACAATAAGAATGCATTGCAGGAGGGTAGACGGTGTCACATGATAGCATTTTCAAAAATATCAAAAAATTTACTTTGATTTTCCTCATCTGATGTGTATTTTTTTGAGATATTACCATTTTTCAACAATTTTCAACTCATTTTCATTTTTGCCGATTACAGCGCCATCTATCATGAAACGAAAAAATGTCTAATACAAAAGTTACATATTGTTTCACGGAGAATCCAAATCTGCAATAAAAAATAGGGGTTTCTATTTAAGGTTTCAAAGTCACCGGGTCCCATCCCCCGGGGGTGGTGCAGGGGGGTCGAGCTTTATGTTAATGGATGTCCCTCTTCGAGGTGAACAACTTTTATTGCAACTTTTTTTTAATCCGATTTGCATTTTTCTAAATATTCTGAAAAACAGTTTTAAATGCCTCACCCTATACAGGGTGAGTTATAACATTTGTGCCAGAACTCGTGAGAAGGTAGAACGGATCGAGATGAACAGAAAAGTCCTGAACCATTTGCAATTTTCGCAATAGTTAACGAGTAATAAATTATCGAAAATCGTCGTCTTTGCCCTGCCCACTGTCCAATTCGAGCGCGTGGCGAGATGTGACCGCCCGGCGATCGATATTGCCTGGCGAGGGGAGAGGACAGCGCGCCGTTGCCGGCGAGCTTACGTCGCCGCTCCCGCGTCTCGCGTCCTCACCCCTCGCCTGGCACCTTCTCAACCTTCTCATGAGCTCTGGCACAAATGTTATAACTCACCCTGTATATTACTTACTTTTACACACACGCACACGCACACGCGCTTGCGCACGCCCAAGCGCACGCACACGCACATGTACACAGAGGGTGTCTGTAGAGTCTGACCAAACCCCTAGATCCTGAAAACAGCTTTTGATATGGAAAAATGTTTCAGATAAAAGTTATAGGAAATTAATTTTACTATTATTTGCACCCTTCTAAATCCTATAATTTTTGTCTGAAACATTTAGAGATACCCAACTCATACATATAGTATATATATATCAGAAGCGGAAAATGTTGTCTTATTAATACAATATATACATATATGTATATATATGTATACTTTTTAAAAATAAAATAATAGTAAATGAAAATACTCATGTACCTTTATTTTTTGTATGACAACAAATTTTTATATTTTTTTCAAATTTTGGAAATTACCTGTTTTGTCTTACAATATGTATAATAATTTTCAAAATCTGCAAAAAATATAAATATCTGCTTTATTCCTATCCAAATTGTAAATATAGGCCGGTATTCATAGTCGGATCTTACTTTAAGACAGTCCTAAATAATATCTTAAGATGCTAATACGGCTCTGTGATTGGTAGATGACAAAATAAGATATACTATAGTACTTACGACGATCTTCAATATAAGAATTAATCGACTATGAATACAGCCATATAGACACGGTCTTACATACAGGTCCGGAAGCTCAGGCCAAATTTTGGTGGTGGAGATAGGTCGAATTTTTAAGCCAATAAACGTTTGTCTCTTGGCCATGAGAGTGGCCACGCAAAGAAATCACGGTTTCTATGTCTGTGTCTCTGTCTACTACTAAAGTCACTAGATAAACAAAGTACCGCAATTAACCGCCATATTGAGTCCAAACACGCGGCTCATTCAAATTATTTATTTGTATAAATGTATTTTGTGAATAAAAAAGAAAACCGTAAATTATAGAAATAACTATTTTTATTTATCATGCTTTGGTTTGCTTACATATGCTTTCATAGCAACACTCCTACTACTGTTAACAGTTTTTATTTCATTAATAGTTTTCTTTTTCAGGGAAAAATGGATGCGTGCTATAACAAATGTTTTTATAAGTTTATAAATAATGTTGTGGCACGATGGAATAAAGTTTGCAGGATATTGTTGTAAAAACATTTGCACAAACTGTATAACTTTTAATTCATTTAAAATTAGCTTGATTTCGTTTTTCCTAAATAATAACTCACATTTATATATAATGTTATATATATCCATAGTTGGAAATGTTAAAATATTTTCCTTATACTCTCTAAGTCTAGAGAAAGAACATATATTGTTATTCAAATCGTTTGCACAATTTGTTACAACAGCATTAAAACAATGATCGCACACTTTAAAATTTTTCTTAATCTTATATAGTAATGCACCTGTTAAATGATACAAAGCTGTCTGTATTACATCGCTTAAATCTGTCTCATTTCCAAGTAATGATTTATATATTCCTGTATCCCATAAATCTTCAATACTCTGCTGGGATTGTACTTCTGAAGAGGTATTTTTTAAATCACAATTTTTTATCTCCTTACAATATTGAATAATATGAACTGAATCAACAGTCGAGTAATTACTACGATTAATATTAGCTTTAAACTGTGATAGACAAACAAGTCTTAATGTATATTTGAATTCACGTGCATCTGGAACAGATTTTCTTCCTCGGATGATGGAAAATAGATTCTCTAAGGCATCTTGAGTGAATCTTCCTAATAATAAAAACTTAAAGTTTTCTTTCTCTAAATATTCAGCTTGCAAATCAAGAGCAGTTTGAGTGCAAAGTATTAAGCCACTTTGAAATGGTTTCCATTTTCCATCTCCGACTGTTATTCCTTTAATAATCTTGATAAAATCTTTTAAAAATATTATGTTATCTTTGTACACATTTTCATCAATATGTGATAATGCAAGTTTTATATATCGACTGGTCATAATTTTAAACCATTTATACATAATTGTAAGAAACCAGGCAGTGGTTTTATGTATATTTTCAATACGTCCATTGCCTATGTGATATGAAATAGCTGCTGCAACATTATTGTTTAATAATGCTATACTTAAGGGGATGCTAAAGCCGTCTGTTTTATCGGCATTCTTTGTTAGAACTAATCTTTTAATTGGCTTTATAGAAATGCAAAATTCTTATACGGAATTAAAGAACGCAGCAAAATCTACTTTTCTCTGGTCAACTTTATATTAAAAACGAAAAAAAATTAATAATTTTATTAATTTTTGGTACACTTGACGACAATATTTGCTTGATACGAGAATTCTACAATAAATATATACAAACTGAGACCAGACAAAAGTAGGGACAACATATAGGAACAATATCGTGCAATTAGAACTAAGATTAATAGCCTAGAAAAAAAGATTAGTTCTAATAAACGCAAGTCAAAAAATCCAAGTCTAGAAGACGAGAAAAAGAGTAGTATGGCGTGTAGAAATAGTTGCAGGCTTTCTCGAGAGATGTCACTGCCAACGGTGGCAATGTGGCGACTTGCAGTTGCCCATCTATACGACGACACAGTCTATGGTCGTCGGTGGCGCTGTCCGAGCGGGAACAGAATATGTTAGTCGTTACTCGTCTGTGTCACGGTCAAGACCGATCACCTTACCGTGTACCGAGATCTCAATAAAGTTCTCTTGCATCTCGTATATTCCGAGTGAGTTCTTCCCCGCCTTCGCAATCAGCTAACGGCAAGGAAGTATTGTGGGCACTTCAGCCGGGCTGTAAATACATCGACTAGGCCCCACAGCAACATGGCAGCAGTCGCAAGCCGGCGATAATCGCGTCC